AAACCAGGTCAACCAGTCCCTTACAAAAAGTCATGCCGGGCCCACTTCCCGGCTTTGATATTAACAAAGACTGATTTTCTTCTTTTTTAAAAAAAAAAAAAAAAAAAAAAAAAAGGTCAATGGGCCTTGCTCCACTACTCTCCACAGGCACAAAAGACAAAAAAATATGGCAATGTATCTTTCCACGTTGGCAATGTACTCACAAAACTATGGCAATGTATCTTTCCATGTTGGCAATGTACTCTCCACTACTCTCCACTACTCTCCACTAGTGTACCACAATTCTACTTCCACTTCCCGAAAAAAGGCAAGATTCGACGCAAATGTCCGGCCAGCAAAAGCTGGCCACTACTCCGCAGCACATTTCGGAGCACTCAGAGGGAAAAAGCAGAGTCTGGGCATACTCACACTGGGGGTTTCCAGCAGTTGCAGCTCCCCACCAATAGATGGAGCAGCCAGGGACAGCTACTAGAGGCGGCTGCTCTTATCACCGCCTCTGGTAGTGGTCGCTGGTTATTAAAAAAAAGAAAAAAGAAAAAAAAAAGGTCTAATAATCTCTCTAATTAGCAAAATCACAAAATCTGCTGTTCTTTTCCAGTCACACATTGCCCCCCCGGCCCCAGCAAAATCACAAAGCGTGTAGTGTTTGTCAGCGGCCTGCTGGGCCGCGGGGTGCAGCAAGTTGTGAGCACCTCTAGAGGTCCTCGCAAATTGACATTTGATTTTCTGATTTAAAAAAAAAAAAAAAAAAACTCGGCGCGAGTCAGCGGGCAATATAACGCAATTTCTTGCGTACTACAGTCCAAGAATGCTACGTTCCGTTTCCCGCCGGACAGTCATACAGCCGATGTACAATCTTTGGGGTCATGTGCAGCAGATTGCCCGTGCGAAATGAGAACGGGTTTGTCCTTAGTGGCAGAGTCCATTCCCCTTGCCAGGTGGGTTCCAAACCCATTCCCGTCGCCTGGCGGGACTACGCATTATGGAAGTAGGCCCAGCATTATGGAAGTAGGCCCAGCTCAGAAGAGAAGGAAACAGGGCTTAAATGAGGACGTGTTTGCGGGCAGCTGCAAAAAATCACGCTTCCAGCTCTTTTTCTGCCTCTCTGCACATGGCAACGTGCACTTATCCGCCAACACGTCTGGATTTGAGTGCTTGGCCCATCGGGGTGGTACCACAGTGGCCACCGTGGGGGAACCATTCCAATTCATGGCCGTGCAGGGTCAGGAGACGCTGTAGAGGGATGTCGTGCCATTTCCCCTCCTGTACAATAAACATTGGATCGACTATAGGAGAACACTGTATGTTAGATAGGCTCCAGGATTTCCCGGCCATTTTTTACGGGTACATAATTTCATTAAAACACGAATAGAGTCAAGAGTTCCACCGCTAGGCTCGAAGAAAGAGTCGAGCCTAACAAGTGCTCTCCGAACCGTGCGAGATGGTCGCCCATCACACGGCTCTCCAACTCAAGTTGCCTTATTATTATATAAATAAAATAAATAAATAAGCCAGAGTGGCSTTCGCGCCCTTATTTGACTCATTCTTACCCGCGCGCGTTATTTCTTATTTATAAGTTCACCGAGAATGAGTTTGGTTGCTGTTTGCTGTAATGGAGAAACAATGTGCTGGGATCCTGTAGTGTGCCTGAGGGAGATCATACATAGGAGAATGGCGTAAGCTATGTACGCTGTTTTGTTGGCACTGTAATGACCCGCCAAAACACAGACTGAGAACACTGCTGATTTCTGGGATTTGCCGCTGGAATGTATGCCTTGCTGAGATTCCAGCATTCTGCTGTGATTTCTAAGTCCGTGTGTGTGTGTGTGTGTGCGTGCCTGCTGGTCTGCGTGCCTGTCTGAGTGCTTGTCGGCCTGAGTGTGTGTGTGACCCGCAAGGGTACTTGTTGGTTGAGAGGCCCCTCAGGGCCGGTACGTACCTGTGGCTGTGCCTTTGAAGGTTGCAGGGGGGAAAACACTCAAGCAGGGGGGGTAGGCCTGCGACACTTAGAGCAGGGGGAAAAACACTCGAGTAGCAGGTAGGCCGGTACCACTCAAGTAGTGGTAGAAGCGTGGGTACTGGAGGCTGAGCAGAAGAAGACTAAAGTTGGCATTTTTAGAGGTCCAGTAGCGGTAGGCTAGAGGTAGGCTGGTACCAGTCCAAGTAGCCTGAGTCTAGGGCCTGTCCGGACGATATCAGAGTCTGCAATGATGCTTCCGTCCGAAAGGGAGGAGGTACCGGTTGCTGAGAGGCCGCACGGCCTAGGAAGTCAGCGGCCCAAGAGGCAAGTAGGTTGCTATATCTTCGGGAGGGGCAAGTAGCTCCTCCTCGTTTGTGGTGTGCAAGGATTGGCGACATACTGCTGGAGCCTAGCGCTGGACTCGGGGCACTGCCTGGAGGAGGAGAGCAGCTGAGCGCTCAGCCTGGCTATGGCGATCAGCTGAGCGCTCAGCCTGGCTATGGCGAGCAGCCCAGCCTGAGGAGGAGGAAGAAGGAGGCGAAGGAGGAGAGTGGCGAGGTACCTACCTGGCTATGGTGGACACCATCTTCATCACCTTGTTAGGCGCTGCATCTGGAAGGCCCGAGTTGGGGTAGTGCCGCACCAAGGAAGCTCGAGGCAGAGTCGGCTTATTGAGCAGCGGCATAGCTGCTTTGTGTTGTCCTTTGGACAGGAGGGCAGAGCCCTTAGTAGTCCGCCATAGCCTAGGCATGTGAGAGGAGGAAGAAGGGGGAAGCCATGGCTATGGTGGACCTGCTGTTGTGTCAGCAGTAAGAGGGAAC